AACAGTCAGCATAAATGGGAGAAATCTGAAGGAAGCAACCTCCTTTACCTACCTACCTACCTACCTACCTGGGAAGCATCGTTTCAACTACAGGCGGACGGAACTGATGAGGATATCATCAAAGCGAGGATCAGGAAAGCAAAGCAAGCTTTCATTTCTCTCAAGTTTGTGTGGAGATTGTCAGCACTACTCAGCATGAAATGAAAATAAGATCCGGACTTTCAACTTCAGTGTGAAGTGAGTGCTACTTGCTATGTGGAACGGAGACTTGACGCCGTGTCATGAAAGGCACTTCGAACGAACTACAGACCTTAATCAACATCTGTCTTCGCTCAGTACTTCGCTCAAGATCAGATGGTCGGTCAGAAAAGATCAGCAACAGGGAGTGATCTGTGGCAATGAACGAAACAACCCAGTAGGAACCGATTGTGCAAGAAATATGCAGGAAGAAATGGAGGTGGATTGGAGGCCATAGTCTGAGAAAACAAACCACCATCAAGTGAGTGACATCACACGCCAGGCCATTGCTCGAGTGGAACCGGAATGGTAAGTGGCGAATTAGTTGGTCGTCAGTAAGATGGTTGGATGATATGGAGGAGGTCATGTGGAGAGGAGATGAAAACATGTGGGCAGACGTGCAGCCAAGTGAAAACGTTTGCAGAGAACCGAAGGCAGTGTAGACGTGTGCGGCTGAATCTCTATGTTGCTCTAGTATCTTAATGAAACAATATAGTATAATATATGTATATATACAAATGATATATAGTTTACAGGATTTAAATATAGTAAGCTTTAGGCCTTATTTATTCCTATCGAATTGTCGTCCGGTGGATACCCAGTTCTTTCTTTGAACGATACTATGTGCACCCATATAAAATCCCACTGGTTCATATAAGTTGATACGAGAAAGGAACTTCTGGACATAGATGATTCGATCGTGATTTTTTAACTTTAGGAACATATCTTGGTGGGTAGTCGGTTCTAAAGGATGGAGGAGGGGGAAGGAATAGGGTAAATTAGAACCAAAATCTTCAAGTTTAAACACAAAGGATACTGAGTTGAGACCATCTGTAAACCGCCGGAATGAATAAAATGGAATAAATCAAGCTAATCCAGTCTCTTCTTATATTAGAGATTCGAAAATCCATTGAGGTCTTTTTTTAAGGAGGCTCCGTTGCGCATGTGTCCTATGCTGATGCTCCTGTTTGTCAGTAGCACGAGGTAGAGGAAGGGCTTGTTTTGATTCGTAATAAGACGGTCAGAGAGTAAGAACAATACTGACTAAATAACTGTCTCGCTTACACCAGACTGGTAGTTCAGAGGCTTCTGGTTCGAATCCTGTCGAGATGCAGATTTTCATTCCACTTTCAATTACCACTGGTTTTCGATTTTTAATCATAAGTTGACATCATTCTTAGGATATCAAGTAATTCCGAAATTCCATAGAGTTCTTTTCATCTATAAAGTTGGACGACACTTGTATAAAATTCATTTGAGTGCTGTTTATGTCCAATGTTATGCGTAGCTATAGGATCTAAAATGGGGGAGGGAGGCGAGCGGTTGAATATCTATCTACGTATGTGTCTCCCACTCTCTGGCAGTCATACTGTAATAAGAATCATCTTCAATTTAGAGGTTAATTTGGTGGATGGTGGCTAGCAGTGGAATCCAGGATAACGCGCATTTCGTCCTATTTGGCACTCGTTGGTGGCTGGATGTACCTGCATTCCCCAGTGAGTGAGTGATGATGTTCCCACCGAGGCTCAAACGCAGTTCCCATAGTTTAAAACGCCAAAGCGTTATTCACTAGAGTACTTGGGTCACGACAGTCACCTCTTGGTGGGAACATAATCACTCACTGCGGAATGCAGGTACATCCAACCACCAACGAGTCCCAAATAGGACGAAATGCGCGTTATCCTGGATTCCACTGCTAGCCACCATCCACCAAATTAACCTCTAATTACATGCCCAGACATCGTCGAAGCATCTACATAAGAAGTCGACATGTCAACCTGAGACCGAGCACTTCGGTCCAATCAATCGACGGGAAAATCTAAAATTCAATTAAACATCTTCAGTTTAACTCAAAGCGTTTACATTCTTGCGTTTTTAACCTCGAAGGAACATAGACAGATGAAATCCAGTCATTTAGAAGGCCTAGACACTATGACACTGGTTACACCATAGTAACATGCGAATTCATGGTTTCTGTACTTAGTTTACTCATGGACTTATTATTATTATTCCCTCGGGTTCCAAGGGGAACATAGGGCTTCGACAACACATCTCCACTTTCTTCTATTCTCTGCTGTCCTCTTCAGCTGGCAGACCCCACGATTGGCCATAATCTCTCATCTCCTCCTCCTCCTCCCCAACACACGATCTCCTCCATGTCACCCTCACACCGACGACCCAATTGTCGCTTTCCACTGGGATTCCACTTGAGCAATGGCCTGCATTGAGTGAGAGGTAATTCAGTGGTCTCCTTAATGTATACCGAATCCATCCCCATTTTCTCCTACATATTTGTTGAGCAGTTGGCTCTTGCCTGTTGGTTTGTTCCATTGCAGAGTTTCTTGTTGCTGATTCTTTCTGCCTGGTGATTCAATCTTCAGTAATGGAGTGAGCAAAGGCAGCTGTTGATAAAAGTTTGCAGCCCCTTGTTGGAAATCCTCCTTGTGACGCGCTGGTCAAGTTTCTGACCCATATAGAAGGAGTGACTGACTTAACATTGATGTTGAAAATCCGAATCTTGTTGTTTATGCTGCGTCGGAGTGCGGAAGATTTCCAAACAGATTTCAGTTTTATGAAGGTCTGCCTTGCATTTCCGATTCCGACTGGCTTCGACATCATCCGTTCCACCGGCCTGTGGTTGAAAAAATGCTGGCTGTCTATATAAGTAAAGGAAGTAACCTCGTCCCCCTTTGATTGTGATTAGTGCTACTGTTTGGTTGGTTGGTTGGTTATCTTCACCACCTCTGTCTTCTCTATGTTCATCACCTGGAGTCCTATCTCCATTGGCTGCTTCTTCAACCAGTTTGTTGGTTTTCGCCTGCCTTCAAGTCTTCGAGTTTCTGTGACATTAAACATAAATAATCCACACGTATGAAATCCAGATCTTCTAGAGTCTTCTTATTGGTCGTCCAGCATATTTGTGACTCCCCGATCCCAACTCACAGTCTGACGCATAATCCAGTCCACCACAATTAAGAACATCATCGATGATAATAGGCAGGCAGTCAGCCAGCCTTTTCTTACTCCTCTCTTCACTTCAAAAGCTTCTTCGTTGTGGATCGCCTGACACATGGCAGGCATTGTCATACAACCAGCTGTTGACTGAATGCTGATAAAAACTTGGGTACTGCACGCCATTACTTAGAGACTGCAAAAAACTGAACCTACAGGAATAGCTTAAATTAATTAGTTCATAAACTGAATATTAGACATTCTGATCAATATTTAACTTTTCGGTGCATCAATCATTGAATTTTGTACATAAAAAAGGACAAACAAACAAACGTAGGAGTTGAAAATTTAAAAAAATGAAACCCGGTCAATTCAAAAATCAACGTACATATGAAGTAAGATGTTGAATTAATTACTTTTCAAATTGTACTTCAATTGACAAAAGGAAATAGAAAATGAAGAAAAGTAGTTTGTAGCGATTAGTTCTGTTTTTACGAGTTGATCACGGATTGACATCAGTTAGAGAACCATTGAAAACCAGCCACAAGGAGTACTGGCCAGCCAGCTATTTCGTCAGCCTAGTGTAGGTCTCATCGGCAGGACGCACCCACTGCCAGGGGTCGAGCCCAGAAGCTTCCGGTTACAAGGCAAGCAAACTCGCATACCATTCAGCCACTGGGACCCGACCGATCCAATGGCCAGTTCATGAATTCTTACTGGTATCAATCCGTGATCAACTCGTAAAAACACAAATATCTAATCCTTACAAACCAACTATTGAAAATTAATTGGATGCTCGCTAGTGACTGACTGGCTACAGGACCGAGTTTCCTGGACTTCTAGTGAGAAGTCGTGATCAGGGAGGTCCATCCAGTCAAGTGTGAGGATGGATGTCCCACCGATGACATTGGTTGGTGCTAGTCGCGCTAAATTTCACGAATTGGTAGAAGTTAGAATTCATGGACTGGCTATTTGGGGGATTGGGTCCCAGTGGCTGAATGGTATACGAGCTTGCTTGCCTTGTAATCAGAAGGTCCTGGGTTCGACCTCTGGCAGTGTGTGTCCTGCCGATGATTCCCACAGTGGTTAGGACTCTCACCGATCATACACATGGTCCGGGGTTCGATCCCCTGCCGACGCACACCCGATATCTATGGTCGGTCTGCAAAATTTGGGCTACCGATATTCATGCTGAAAATGCCATACTTGTACTGAAAATACAGTGTGGCATCAAGCTGTAATCAAAAATATAAAATATAAAAAAATATATATAAAATAACTAGGCTAGCTCTCCATTACTCCCTATGGCTGGTTTTCAATGATTCTCCAACTGACATATCAATCCGTGATCAACTCGTAACAGCAATTGTAGTTATCGATTGCCTAAGTTCGTATAATTTTCACTTCCCCAGTGTATTTCAGTATGTGGGGTCTGTGCAGCATACCTATTTACCTGTCGAAGTGTACATACCATGCAAGTATCTTGCACCCCTTGGAAATAAATAAACATTTGACGTAAAAGCAGGAATTTTTTTAGTTTTTCGTTTCTCCTTCAGATTTTTGTAATCATAATAAAATAAAACTAAATATCATTTTTAGAAGAGTGCCAAAAATTTCCATGGCATTCAAGGAGGGAATTGAATTTCAAAAAAAATAATAAGTGGAGAGCAAATATGTGTGATAACAAGTACTACACACATACACACACAAACTCGCACACTCACATACACGAATATTCGAGAGCCATAATCTTTAGAAAGGAAATAGTATCCTTGCTAGTCTTTCATTATAACTAAGATGTACACATAGAAATGCGGATCAATAATAATAATTATTATCATCATATTAATGCTGGTATGTAAACTTCCTTATTCATTGTTGGCTTACTCCTATTATTATTATTATTATGATTTCGACTAATTTCAAACATATGTGCATGCAGATCCATGAATATGTTCTCCTTTTCTGTATATGTGCGCGCGCGCGCACGCGGTGTGTATCGCCAACGGATCAATAATTATCCTTGAATAATTCAAAACTTCCAATGACATACTATGCTTACTATGTGGGTTTTAAACAAAAATTCTGAATGCGCGCGCATATACAAACAATAGGATCATCATCATAATGTCGGTTACAGAAACTGTTTTGCTATTGGAAACGGGACTGTTTGTATGCGTGCGTGCGTGCGTATGTGAGTGTGTTGAGGTGTTGTTCGTGCACACTCACTGTTGATTGGTTAATCCTTATTGAATTTTTTGGGGGTACAGACACACACACGTATATACTAAAGTGGATATGAAATGTCTTTGTACATCTACCTACGTAGGTGAGTGTGTGTGTGCCGGGAGGGGATGGTGGCTTCAGTACACACTGGTTTACAAACACACACTATATCCCATTCTTCCACCCACGTAAGCTACAGGAT